ATTATTGACTGGCGGTTTTTGAAGGGGAGTGAAGGTGCAGGGGAGTGTGTGGTAGAGGGGAGATCAGCAGGAGGGATTGCCGCGCTTGACGGGGCGGGGGGCGGGGGGGTAGAGGGTTGTAGAGGGATAGATGCGAGGAGGGTTGATAGAGGGGTGCGCGCGGGGTGGGCCGGGGAGAGTAGAGGAGTGACAGGAGGGTTGATAGAAGTTGGGAGCCCGGAAAGGGGGTAGAGAGATTAAGGGAGGGGGGGGGGGAAGGAGGCGGCACGTTAGAGATGTTGCGGGGGGGGAGAGGGGGGGAGTTAGGGTGGGGGGGCCGGGTTCTAGAGGGCTTGGGGGCGAGTGGGTAGAGAGGGAGAGTGTGAGGAGTCGTCGGCGGGGGGGGAAGCGGGGGGTTAGGGGTAGCGGTGTAGAAGCGTTGGGCGGGGATAAGGGTTGGGGTTAGGAGGTGTTGCCGAAGACGGGAAGGAAAGGGATGGCGGATGGTTAGATTTAGAAGTGTGGGGTAGAGGGGTGTAGGGAAAGGGCTGGGGTAGATGGGTGGGGAGGAAAGGTGGGGGGTAGAGGGTGGTGCGAGGGAAAGGGAGGGGGGGGTTTTAAAAGGTTGGGAAAGTGGGGGGAGGGGGGTAGTTAAAGTGTGGGAAAAAGCGGGGGATGGGGGTAAAAGCGTTCGGGGGGGGGGGGGGGAGGGAATCGTGTGGGTTGGCGTAAAGGAGTTGAGGACGAGGGGGTGGGGCACACAGGCGTTGGTGGGAGGGGGTGGCCAAAGGGTTGTTTAGGGCGAGGGGCGGGGGGGGGGGTTTAAAGGAGTTGGGGGACGGGAGCGGGGGTTACAGGGTGTGAGGGGAAGGGGGAGGTAAGGGCCTTGCTGGAAGGGTGCGCGGGCGTTAAAGGGTTGCGGGCAGCAGGGGGGGTTGGTAACAGGTTGGGGGAGGGGGGCGGGGGGGGGTTTTGGTTAAAGCGGTGCGGGGCGGGGGTGTGCGTAAAGGGTTGGGGTGAGGGGGTTTTAAAGGGCTGGGGGAGGGGGTTATAAAGCGGTTTGGGGGAGTCCGGGGCTACAGGCGTTGGGTGGATGGGGTTTTTATACGGGTTGGGAGGAGGAGGGGTAAGGGCTTGGGGAGAGGGAGTGTGTTAAAGGGCTGGGGGAGGTAGTAAAGGGCTGGGGGAGGGTGGGGGTGCGGTTGGTAATAAAGCCGTGGCAGGGGTGGGTAAAGGGTATTGGGGGCGGGGTATTTAAAGGTTGGGGCGGTATGTGTTAGGTGTAAACGGGTTGCAGGGGGGCGCGGTGTAAAGGGTTGGGCCGCGGAGAAAGTGGAGTCGTGCGGAGGGAGTAACGAGTTGGGGGGGAAAGGGAGTGGGGAGGTAGTGGGGTTAACGACGAGTTAGGGACGGGAAAGAGCGGCGTGGGGGGGGGGTAACGGGAGACGGTTGCTTGGGGACGAAAGGGCGTGGGGGTGCTAACGGGTTGAGCGGGGAAAGGGGTGCGGGGGGGAGTGAGGGATCGAAGAGGTAACGGTCGTGGGGGAGAAAGCGCGGCGTGGGGGAGTAACGTGTGTTGGAGGGAAAGAGGGCGTGGGGGGGTAACGCGTCGTTGGAGGGAAAGGGGCGTGGGGGGGACCGGGGGGGGGTAACGGCGTTTGGAGGGAAAGGGGCGTGCGTGGTCGGGGGTAACGGCGTTGGAGGTGAACGGGCGCGTGGGGGGTTAGAGGGCGTAGGGGAGGGAAAAGGGGCGTGGGGGGTGCGTGGGGTGGATAGAGGGTGTGGGGAGGGAAGGGGCGTGAGGGGTCGAGGGTTAAGTCGCGGAGGGAAAATAGGGGCGTGGGGGGATTAGGCGGTATAGAGGGGTGGGGAGGGAAAGGGGCGTCGTGGGGGGTTAGAGGGGGTGGGCGAAGGGAAAGGGGAGTGGGGTAGAGTAGAGGGCGCTGTGGGGCGGGAAAGGGGTGTGGGGGGTAGCAGGGAGTGGCGGAGGGGAAAGGGGCGTGGAGGGGGGTAAGAGGGGTGGGAGGAAAGAGTGGGAAAAGGGTGGGGGGCGGGGTGTCGTGGGGGCGTGAGCGGCGGCGGGGTGGGGGAAAGAGGGTGCGGTTTACTATGGCGACCTATCCAGGGTGATTCTATCACATGGTGCACCCCATTGTGTCATGCGGGTGTGTTTATCGCTAGGTGATAGTCCCCTGGTGAGGTAGATAGTCATAACGACAACTCATATAGATTCATCAGTCATCTCCTTGTGAGGATGCAATTTTTGGTATCATTTGAAGCCGTACTCTGGCTTTGCCAGGCCCTGGGTCGCAAATAACCTGACCGCCCAAGAATAATGGTCCTAATAAACTGAACGCGAGTTGCTGACACCTCATCCACGAGTAGTGATCTCATCCACATGTGTGCACTTTGTGTCATGTGTGTTTATCGGAGGTTTCAAAATAAAATAGATAAACGATCCATTTTGTCCTAGTAGTCAACACCTTTGTGGCGATGCAATTTTTCGTTATTTTTTTGAAGCTCCTACTCTGGCTCTTGCCAGTGCGGTTGCATATATCGGTCTCGGCCAGTAATATGGTATCTAATGGCTGAACGCAGTTATCTGGGATCTCCCGTCGGCGGGTGAAATCTCATCCACATGGCTGGCCCCACGTTGTGTCATGAACGTGCTTTATTGGCTTGTGTGATGTCCTGGTGGAGTAAAACAAGATAGAGATAGATAAACGACCAGGATTGCTTGCTTGCGCACTATTGGAAATACTTAACCGGCTATTTCTAGCGTTAAAACATGTCCGCTGTTCTCGTGGGTAGTGAGATTAAGTATCTAGTTCTCCCTGACAAGGGTGATAAAGCAGAGTTGGCATATGAAAGTTAGGTAAGTAAAGAAAATGTAAAGATCCATTTTCATGTCTTAGGTGCATAGGGCATATGGGAAGAGCTCCCATATTTTTACAAACCAATCGACCAATGGGTAATGTGGTCAGCATTATGCCGGCTGTCTTTACTTTCTCAGGACATAACATCCTGGTACCCATTTTAGGCTGGGTTGATCTGCGACACATGATACCATAATAAAAATCCACGCAGCCAGCGGTCTGTTTCGATCGCGGTTCGTTGAAATTATGAGTCAGACTCACAACGCCTAAGCCATAGACACTGCATAAAAGTTAGGGGTGGGCTTTAAATAAAATGACGCAACCATGCCATTGTCATAACCTGTAATTCCATATGCTAAACTCTTCTCAGCCATCTTTCTTCCCCATGATTTCACAATGAAGACCTAACACTCTTTCTACCGCTGGCCACTGATCCCATCAGTAGATATAATCACATCTAATGGCCCAAAGTAGTCCTTCATCAGCTGCTAAACCCGTGTCTGCATGTCCTGCTGCCCGTTCTCTCATTCCCGTCTCATTGTAGTTAGCACTTTGTACAACTTGTCCCTGCATCTGGTACCTTTACCCATTCTTCTCTTTGGCTAATCTTTTTAACCCTGTAGGCACTGGGGATTTTATTTTCAGCCTGGGCTATCTAAGATCTGCCTCTCTAGGGCATGCCACAGTATCCAGTTCCCCATTGAAGGATGTGTCTTATATTACTTGCAACTCCAAGATAGTACCAAGCTTGCTGTATTGTGTCTGTCAGCAATAGTACACATAACATGAGGGATTTGTTTATATGTTTTATATTATTTTAAATGTATTATTTCATTTTTTTTCTACTTGGCACAGAATAATAATTATTACTATTGCATACTTAAACCAGGCTTTAGTCCCCTCAATACTCCCTTCCCCTACCACCAGATACATTCTTTGTGGAAGCATCTCCAACATCAATCCTGACACTCTAATTCTCCAACATCAGTCCTGACACACTGCATCCCAAAAAATTTGTTCTGACACTTTGCATCCCAAAAAATTTGTTCTGATACTTTGCATCCCAACATCATTCCTGACACTTTGCATCTCAACATCATTCCTGACACTTAGCATCCCAAACACCAATCCTGACCCTCTGCATCCTAAACATCCGTTCTGACCCTGTGCATCCCAGACACAAATCCTGACACTTCGCATCCTAGACACCAATTCTGACAACACACTTTCAACTAAACAGAGCTTTAACCTGACTTGACATAGATTTCTACTCTGGTCTCCAGTGTCCAACGCACGCAGAGGCTTCATGTGGCTTATACCTGCTGCATTTAAGGACGGTCAATGAAAATATCATCACTCTTATTTTGACTGCTACTTTCTTTCAATATATTGACAGTAATGTCTGAAAGTGTACAGAGAAGAAGGACAAGAGAAGATATGCTGAATGCAGAATGATATTACAACAGAGTACGGTACTTATTCTTATTTAAGTGTTATGAGTGAACAGGGCAGAGGCACTAATAGATGAGAATGGTGGCGCAAGAAGTCACAAAGGAATCTGGCTGATGCTCAATACGCAAGGGTAATAGATGAGAATGGTGGCGCAAGAAGTCACAAAGGAATCTGGCTGATGCTCAATACGCAAGGGGAAGACGAGATGCACATACAATCATGCTGCTACTGGTACCATTGTAATTGGAACTCTGCAACAGCTGCTGGAGATGGGGATGGAACACTTATGGGAATGTTCCGAGTGCTGTCATGCCAAGGCTTGATTCAACATACAATAATACAGGTGTTATGAACACAGTTTCATAATTCTCACTTACTGGATTCTTAGTCGACTGCAAGGTGATCTGGTGGCAGATGCACTGCGTTGATTTCAACGGGACAAATACCATCATATTCAAAGTGAAGTGGGGAAATTACTGAATGCAAAATATTTCCTAGTGAAACCACAAACATGCAACAAATACTGGCGTTGGTCTGGGATATTCTGTAAAGGATATGCAGCAAACTTTATACAATTCACATCGTGGTGACTATACGAACATCATTTGAACTTTTTTATATTGAAAACTCCCCCAGAATTGTTTGCTGGAAAAACTGTCAAAACGTGAAAAAGAAAGTCATCAGTCCTAAAAACTAGACTTTCTTTTGCTGCTGCTTCTTTACATACTCCAACACTGTCTTATGAGGCAGTGGGCTCCGGAAGTTTCTGTACCACAAGAAGTATGTGAATGCAGCAAGAGCATACCTAGGGAATCGAAACATAAGTCCGTCAGCAATGCATATCTGTAGTGAGTCATTTTCTCCCCATTAAGTTATGCCCGATAGATGACGTCAGTAATAAATGTAAGGCGAATGTTTGACTGACTGAGATAACACGAGATTTATGTCTTGAGTTTCATGAGAGACATCTGAAAGTCAGGTTTTATGTGAAACATGATTGCTCACGTGAAACCATGAAGGTTGACTGGCAGGATTCATGAAAATGCGAATTATCACGGGCCAGACACGACAATTCGTGAGAATGAAATTATCCAGAATATTCGAGAACAGGACAGATCAGAGGGCTATATAATAGCGAAGAAAAGGTTTGTGAGGCAGTCTCGTTTAGGCCAAGGGAAAGGTGTACGTGTGGAAAGTTCGGAAGAATGTTGTCGTCTGAATAGCGTGATTTCCCAATGCCTACCTGGCATAAAATAGCGGCTGACGGAAACGGTGGCCAGCTGTGAATGACTGTCGTTCTGGATGGAGGGAGCTACTGTGTTTTCTTTGAATTGTGTGTGTATTCGACGATGTTACAAAGGTATGATTGACTGTTTAGATCATTGATTAAGAGTGCTACGGTTGTACATGAACATTCACTGACTGCAACAACAGCGAGTGAAAATAAACAGTACGTGTAACTTCTGAACATCTGCCAGCGTCCATGTTTTCTCGTTCTCGTCAGTTGGTGAATGGAAAGATGTGGTGACTCATTCGAGCCAGCAATTAATAACAATGAAGATCATTGCAATATCAATCAATCAATCAATCAATCAGGTGAGGTCTCAACAATCAAAGCTGGCTGTCACTGAATCTTCAATTTAATCTATCTCTTGTCCATGTGATACATTCCTAGACCACTATCTCTTGTCCATGTGATACATTCCTAGACCACTATCTCTTTTCCATGTAATACATTCCTAGACCACTGTCTCTTTTCCATGTGATACATTCCTAGACCACTATCTCTTTTCCATGTGATACATTCCTAGACCACTGTCTCTTGTCCATGTGATACATTCCTAGACCACTGTCTCTTGATTTTATCCTTATATCTGAATCACTGTCTACCTCTTGCCTGTCCCTCCAGAAAAGTTTTTCATAAGAATGAAGTAAAGGACCCTTTTCCATGGTTTCAAGTATATATATATATATATATATATATAGGGCTAGATCTATATTTTATAGACCAGTCAACATGTGGTGCGTAATGTGATCAGCATCATGCTGGCTGCTTTTACTTCCCAGGACTGTACCTGGTACCCGCTCAAGGCTGGGTCAACCTGGAAGCCAAAGTCATTTTTTTTAAAAGTCTGAATTTGCCAGGACCTGATTCTACCACCATCCAAACCACAGGTAAGCATCTAGCCACTTCACCATGTTGGCTCCCTTTTCATAAGAACAACAATGCACAAAAAGTATTCAAATGTAAAGGAGTTGATTTAATTGCACTGCATATTATCTCATTTTGGTGGGTCTCACTCAGAATAACTGCTTGCCTTCCTAGAATGTGCATAAATCATTTGCTTCAGCGATAAGCCTGGGACCTCTGAAATATGTCCACTAATGTTTCAAAGAGAGAGTCTAAAAACAAATCCATGACCTTCAGAGTAAGAGCCGACCAGCTTACCCACTTCACTATAGACACCCCTCTAGCAATGTCACGGATCTGCTAATTCTTCTGTGGCTGGAGTACACTCCCCTGTTGTGTAATTAGTTTATGTTGAAACGTCGATCTGTTGTGTTTTCCGTACATTGTTCTGCTTCCCTATTTCTTTTAAAGCTTTTTGGTCTCAGTTCACTGGATTAATTTCTTATTCTTCTGTGTTTGCCTTTATAACATTTTTTTTTTCTGTGTGTCCATTTTGTTTGCGAATAAAAAATCAACAGACAATACCACTGAGGCAGCAAAAAGCATTAAAAACTGCATCCATCTGTGGTATCACAGTTTATAATGTAAGCAAGATGGAAAAGACTTCAGTTATTGCATTTAAGTATGCCCTTATACAGCGTGTGATGCAATACTCCATACCAGTTGGAAAAACCAGTTGTTTACTGTTTGTTCTTAAACTTTTGGCCAGCAGTGTAAATATGCTTAATGGCAAGTGTGGATAAGGAAAAGAGACATTAGTTTTCTGGTGTTTGATAAATAACATAAACAAATCACTGTCATAATGTGTCGTTCTAATAGGCACAGGCCATCATGTTTCACCATCTGACATATTCACCAGAATTAGGTCAGTGTTTTTGTCTCGCCTCATCATCAGTATGGCCAAGCAACCTAGATTTGTATCATCTGGCCTTCCTCTTGCTCTGTTTTCATCAATCGTACAGTCATCACCAAGTTCTCAAATCCATTTCCTCTAGTAAACAGAAAGAAGAGGAAATTGAAGAACACTTTATTTCCACTGGCAAACAGAAAACAAATAAGGAAAATCCAAATACTTACCAGGTTACAATGTAAGTTAAATGTTCATTGCGCAGAGCCAACTGAGTCTGACCTCCACGTGGCCCACCAGGTACTGTTGAATCTGGAAGACAAAGATCATCAATCAGCATGTCCTTTACAGAACCTCACTCTCTTCACGACACGCCTGAAAGTCTCTCTTTCTCTAGCTAATTCTCCAACCCTATGTGCTTTCATAGCAAATGCATTTTCAATGTCTTGTATCCACATCTGCAGATGTTGGCCTCTACCTCATGTTTCAAAAACTGCACTCTCCACCACCATTCTCTCAGGCAACAATGACGCTTAACGTGGTTAAAATACCTCAACTTTCAGGACAGGATGTTGTTTAAGAGCCAAAAAAGATATACTTGGAACCAAATAAACTTGAATTCTTATTTTCAACATCCTGAGCTTTAAGGTTCATTGTTGCCAGATATCATCTATCTCCATTCATCATTGTGTTTGGCCTTCTTTTCCCAGCTGGTAGTTCTAAGTATCTGAAGGCCTGACTGAATATTCTCTCTCCACATTTTCTTGGTCTGCCTTAGCCTACTCCCATTCCACTGTTTTGTATACAGTTTTATTTCCCCTCTCTAACACATTTTGTGCCAACACCATTAGTCTATTACCTCTCATAATAATGTAAAAATGTAAAATATAAGTGATTTAGCTTCAGTTCTTTTGTAAAGAAAACAACCCTGTGTTGTAAAATTATGCAGGTAGTCTTGCAATTGAAATGAATGTTAGTTACACAACAGATAAGTGGCGACTTTTCACTGAGAGAAGTTTAAAAGGTATTCTTTTACAGGGCTGCAACAAATATGGCTCAATTCCAATTGCTCATGCTACGACAATGAAGGAGTATGCTACAACAGGTACAGGGAAACAGAAACAAGGAAACAGTGGTAGTTGAGAGACAAAGTTAAAGTTGGAGAAAATATCTGACTGATCGATTAAGTTCCCCATGTGGGTTATGGGACTCCACTGTGGAAAAAACAAGAACAGACCCACTGCATCCCTAACAAGCATGTCATAAGAGTCAACTAACTGAAGTCAGAGTGCATCTACCTGAGAGGCAAGAGATCAACAATCTGCATTACAAGTAAGTCAGATCTGTAAAACAGGTGTGCACGAAACACTCAGGTTGGTTCTTGAACAAGACTAATATCCAGAGGTGGATGAACAACCAGAACTTTCTGCTGGAGTTTACAGCCCGTAAACATGAAGAAGAAGAAGATCGATATAGTGTTCTTATGCCACCATTACATACAAAGCTTGGTTTGATGGAGCAGTTTGCTAAGGCACTAAACAAAGATAATACCTGTGTTAGTAACATGCAGAATGTTTCTGGAACTGATCATAGACAAACTTCAAGCTTACATTTTTTTAAAATCTCAAGTTAGAATTTCAATAAATGATACATTATTGTATTGATTCCATAAACAAAACACAGTCAATGGCCTCATCATCATTTGTTTTCTGGGTAACTTTAAAGCAGACATTTATTCCGAATTCGGTGGAAAGACGCTGTCAATTGTTTGTAAGCTTAGACACAACATGAGTTTAAAATAACTATTGACATAAATTTCCTGAGAATCTTGGTGACTTTAGTGAGGAGCAATGACAGAGATTTCACCATTATATACAAACAATGGAAAAAGCTATCAGGAACTCTGGGAGGCCCATAAGATGGAAAAATTACACTTGGACTCTCAAGGGTGGCAGTCCAGGCATATTCCATTGCAGAAAGTACTGGGACTCTCAAGGGTGGCTGTCCAGGCATATTCCATTCCAGAAAGTACTGGGACTCTCAAGGGTGGCTGTCCAGGCATATTCCATTCCAGAAAGTACTGGGACTCTCAAGGGTGGCTGTCCAGGCATATTCCATTGCAGAAAGTACTGGGACTCTCAAGGGTGGCAGTCCAGGCATATTCCATTGCAGAAAGTACTGGGACTCTCAAGGGTGGCTGTCCAGGCATATTCCATTGCAGAAAGTACTGGGACTCTCAAGGGTGGCTGTCCAGGCATATTCCATTGCAGAAAGTACTGGGACTCTCAAGGGTGGCAGTCCAGGCAACTGATAAACAAATGCGGGTGAAAAAGTTGAAAATAAAATTTTGTTTCGTTTTGTATGAAGGCAATAAATGTGCACTAATTACATATAATATGAATGCAGATCGTTGTCAACATGCCATGATAGTAACTCTAGGCTTGTACATAACAACTGCCCTACTAAGAGGGACATTCCTAGTTATCTCAAAAACTAGAGATGACAGAACAAAAATCTGATTACCTAAAAACAACTATACATTTAAGGCTCCCAAATGAGTGTAGACCAGTATAGTTTTGATACTGTAAATGAAACATACTTGCGTCTGCGTCTATAAACACTTTTGAAGTGCCTGCAATATCTGCCATCTCATCAATATTACGAGTGAACCAATACCCATCTTTCATTGGATCATTTCCAATAACTGGTTTCTGAAAAAATAATTAGACATCTGAATCACAAACTGTCATCATCATATTCAGTTGAGTTAAGAGCTGAAATCACAACATCTAAGACACCCACATAAGCTCTAGGCTTCCACAGTCAGCAGCGGGCTTACAGCTAGAATACCAGTGGTGCCTGCAGACGTCTTGACTGTAAATCTGTCTTGTGTTCTCTCTGAATGCTGTCAACCGGATCACCTGGTCACTCCGCTCTGCGCCATTCTCTTCAGACCATGATGACCCAGTTGTCTCTCTGCACTGTCTACTCGATCCAAAAAGGATTTTACCACATCTAGCTTACTAACATATGTACACTTTCAGCCCAATATGGAGGACTAGGCAAGGCAGAATGTTTAACTTTACAGTTTTTGTTGCTTCTGACAGTACTTTGTGAATGCAATTTCCCCATATGAACAGAAGTATGGCCTAAGCTATTAAGTTAAGTGCTTGGTGCAGCACTGTAAGCTGTTTTTTTAAAATGTGGAATGCCATTAATTTGTGCAGTGGTTGATTCGTTGTATTCAATACAGCAGGCAGCTGATTTACGTGAGGGCTAGAGAAATATACCTTAGATAATAATTTTACGTGTGTATGCTCAACTGAACATGACCGACAGACTGCATTTCTGGTGGCGACTGTTAGCTTTGGTGCCTCTAGCAACCGCCTTTCACAATTATTGTGTGCACATATTTCTGCATTGTGCCAGAACTAATTGATTGTTTGTTCCCCAGTTTTTCAAATGGGACAGGCAGGGACATTTTATCTGATTTTCACTGGTACATGAACGGAGCAAGTATGGGGTGACTTGATTGTAGTGAAGTTGAAACCCTGACTAAAAATAGCTTGTCCAGCATTGATTTACCAATGGTATTTTATTTTTAAATCTTTATTCATAACCAGTTTTTCTTCTGCAGTCACCCTTTAAAGGGCAGCTGGCTTCTTGTGTTGCAGTTTACAGCTAGGCTATGTTATAAACGCTTTTTCAGCCCAATGCATCTGATTTCAAGCAAATCTTTCATGACACACATAAGAACTCACACAGAAACAGGCAGCATTTAGGAGTTATATTTCTTTCAAGACGTCCTCATTAAGCTGTAGGTTTGTCCAAGTGTTCTCATTGTTCTTCAGTGAAACCACATCCTGGTTACCTAACACTTAGTCAACATTCGAAGAATAATGCTTATTATGTTCTTACCCTGGACCCAACAAAGATGTAAACAGCCGAGAACGGAGAGTGAGAAGCAACAACAAAATTCATAATCCGTTTAATTCACCACTCATCACTGGCATCATGAGGGCTAAAAAACTGAAATCTCTCGCGCACATTGAGAGAATGTCTGATGACAGAGAGGTAAAAAATGTACATACAGGGGGCGCTGAATGGTCACAGACCATGAGACAGACCAAGAAGACGATGGAGAAATAATATCCATACAGACCTACAAACGCTTAGTGTCACTAAGTGGAAAGAGAAGGCCAACCAGAGAGATGAATGGAAGCGGGTGATATATGCAGTAATGAATCTCAAGGGCGGGAAAGGCTAAAGACGAAAAATATTCTTACCTTGTCATTCAGTCTGACAATTCCAGTGAGTTCCACTTCTCCTTCAACCTACAGGTGAAACAACAGAATGATCTTATATAAGGCATGCATTTAATAGCTCTGTAAGACATCAATCTGTAGTAGACATTGGTGTAAGAAATCAATGCATACTGGACAATTTATATAATAAATTATGTTTAAAAATGATGAAGGGATTTCAGCGGCCAAGTGGTTAGGCTGTCTGTCAAACCACAACACCTTGTCTGAGCATGGAAGTTTGAGGCAGTCACTGCAGCATTCTGCTGGCTTGAGAACCAGCTGCACACCAGGTCCTGCTTAAAACAGACACATCAAGCATGGTTAGAAAGGTGGACACAGATAGGCTATGTGAAGAGTGGCACGATTATCTTCAGAGGCCCTGGGTAGTTAGTGTTCTTTAGAAATATTCTCAAAATTCAGGGTATTCAGGGGTGTTGACAATTGAACAAGTAGACAGACTAGCTGGTTCTGACAAGCTAGATGTAATCAAGGCACTTTGGGAGTAAGTAAAAAAGTGCACAGTCTAAGATCTTCACAGGTCCCACATAGATTACTTGCAATTGCAGACAGGGCCATTTTGTATCATACGTTCAGAAGTCGGTTTGTCTGTTCTACAGTCACAGGTGGTATATTTTTGAGTGCCTTGTGTAAGTAGGTGTGCTCTAAGATTGCAGTGTCATGTCTGAAACCTTAGAATAATTATCTGTCCTTTTCTGGTGAGTCTTCTTATGTTGTCATTAGAAAAGATAAATTGTTACAAGATTGCAGTGTCATGTCTGAAACCTTAGAATAATTATCTGTCCTTTTCTGGTGAGTCTTCTTATGTTGTCATTAGAAAAGATAAATTGTTTCAAGCAGCCCCAAGAATTGTTTGTTTTTCCTTTGGATATTTTCTCTGGGTAGTGCCGGTATTTTGGGAAATGAGCAGGCAGATAGACTGGCTGGTTCAGCACGGCTTGGCGGTGTATTAGTGTATGACAAGCTGGATGTTGTGAGGGCCCTTTGGGAGCAAGTAAACAGTGCGAAGGCACAGACAGATCATTATGGTCTGAGGAGAATGGCGCTGCGAGGAGTAACAAAGGGATCTGGCCGACGCTCAACACTCAAGGGAGAGGTGAGACAGATACACAATCAGACAGTTACTGGTGCCGTTGAAACTGGAACTCTTAGCTTGCTGGTGAAGATGGGGATGGAGCACTTATGGGAGTGTACCCAGTACTATGATACTGATTCTTAATTCAATATTCAATTCATTTCTCAGTTCTTCCTTTATTACCAAAATAGCCATATGTTTTGTACTCTACCAGTCTTGTGTATGCAACACGTCAATAAAATTAGTATTATGGTCAACCAATAAACTGCAGTTTACCAGTAATGAATGGAAATAACAATAGCTGCAAACAGGCCCAATCATTGAAAATCATGCTTGTAATAAAATATTACTTAATTTTTAATTTTGCCAAATAGAAGGCATAATTTCAAAGGTTCTCTCCCTTTATTTCCAGAATTTTTCAGAAACTTGCAAGTTTGTAAGCTTTCATTGCAGGGTTTTTGTATGTATCAAGAAAGGCCACAATCCCTGTATTAATTATATTTCATTAGTATGAAAACTTTATGTAGCTAACGAATACAACAGCTTTTGTAACCTGTCCTTCAGCTCTCTTTTGCTGTGGTCTGTCCTTGAATGAAACAAATCCACGGTTCACCAAGATGGTCTCACTGTCCAAGAAAGTAACAAACTGATAAGTGAAATAAGATTCAAGGTAATGCATAAATCTGTTAGGTTACATTTCTCAAATTTGTGTCTACAGCCTAGGGGCTATGAATGCCAATTTCCAATCTGCAGAAAAAGTGTATCTCTGTTTAAAAAAAAAGCAACAACAAAATTTTGAATGTAAATCTGCCAAGCAAAAACTACACAACAGCCAGTAAATGTTGGGGCTGGTTCGTGGTATCCTGTAAAGCAAAGCTGTTCAACCGGCAACCAGCTGGCCATATTTGGCCTAGCTAATGGCCTGCGGACCAACGCAAGTTCGATTGTATTTATAACAATTTCTTTATACTGGTCTGGCCTGTGATTATCCCCATTTTCAACATGTTCATCCCTGACAAAACTTAGATATAGAGCCCCGCTGTAAGGGAGACTCAACAAACTATTACAATTTTCAGCTGTTATAACCTTTTGACCTCATTACCTCTTGAAGCAGCAAACTACATAAAAGACCATATTTGAGTGAGTGACGTTCAACCCCACCAGGACTGCAAGATGTGCAATAAACACCCGGTGGCACAAAGTGGTAATATTTAGATTAGGATCACCCGGGCACAGGTCCTAGAAACCCTGTTCAACCGTCAGGTTATATTAGGGCTCCTGATGATAAAGAATTGCATCCCAGATTAGAACTTGTTCATAAAAGGAGGACTATAGGCATTACTTCCTAAAAGACTCAAAATCACTGCCCAATCATTCAGGAGAACCCTTACTGTTTCGAAATTACATTACTACAGAGGTCCTTACATAATGACAACATTGGGAGGACTGTCCTCTTACAGATTTGGGGGTGAGGGATCAAGTGGCTGAAGCCCCGGGTTCTAGCACCCTTGCTTCTACACATGGTTTGCGAAGAGGTAGGGGTGTGGTCCCTTTACAAATTTTTGTAGTAAGCTTACAAACACAGACCACGATTTACTCCTTTTTCAAGAAAGATTGATTAAACCATGATTAAACAGTTGGTGCTCATATGATTTGATGATGCTTTTATGTGTTTCTTATAATACTGTATTCTCTAATATAAACTGTTCAAGACCTCATTCCTCACCACCTCTGTTAAGTTGACCTATATGGTACAGTCTCCTGTATGATCAAATTATAAAGATTCTACTGTAATTGTATCATTGCCTGTGTTACTGTTTGCTGAAGATGGTTCTCAGGCCGTAGTGTTTTAAGAACATTAGTCAATTTTCTAAAATCCACCGGGTGCAGATTTGAACTTTTAAATCTGGTATACCATTTTTAACGTCTTTTCTCATTTTCACAGATTTCCGATTGCTGTGAACAATCATAAAATTACATCAACAATCTTGTTTTGTCATGTAATTACAAAATCATAGAAAAGATGATACCTCAAAGCAAGTTTTTATGTCTTTGTAAACACATGTATATGCTGTACAGACACCTCATTTTTTATCTTACCATCTGGACATGAAAGTATTTTTTAAGCTAAAAATCAAGCTTTACATGTCTGAAGGAAAACAGTCTTCATGCACACATACTGAGACTGAAAGAGAGAGAGAGCGCACAAGAGAGAGACAGAGAGATGGGGACACAGGGAGAGCAAGAGAGAGAGAGAGAGAGAGAGAGAGAGAAATATTTTCTAGAAAAATAAAGCTCTCCTACATACCAAGGATCAGTGACTACCAGATTAGCAGAGAACAAGATAACAACACAGATTGGTCATTCTGAACCTACTCTCTGTTGGCCAGCTTGAAAGGTGTAACAACATTAACCCCTGGTGTTGACTGTGTCTGTGCACTTCGTCCTTCTCCAGCACGAATGTCAGATCTTGGTCCAATAAAGAGCTCCTTTGCATGATCAAAGGTACCTCGAACTTTCACCTTTTGGTACTCCAGTTTTTTCACATCCTCTAGGCTGCGAAACAAATGTGTTTTATAAATTAACTGATTTTGCACCAGTGAGCTACAATATGTCTATGGGTTTCTGCTGAAACTATATAATTTTCTAAATGTTAGTTTGCTAGTCAAGGTTGGCACCACACCGAATGCAAACAGGCATATTTTACATAAAATTCATAGCTCAGTGTTGCAACAAGCACTCAGCCCAGTTGCCTGGTGAAGGAACTTTTGAATTCTTAGTATAGAAATGGGGTAATTGCATCAGCAAACTGTGACTAGAAAGAAGTAACTCCAAGGCAGCATTGCATCTGCTATATTGTAATAAAATTTTTCATTTACTGTATACCAATTAGTCAGCTCTGTGGCTAAGTCAATGCGAACGCTTCGTAATGCCGGGATGCCGGGTTTGATCCTAACTGCAGGCCATGCGCCTTGCGTTGGTTTCGACAGTGGTATCAAGAAAGTCGACCGTCCAGAAAGCAATGGCAAACTACTGGATGTAAATTTGCCTTGAGAAACCACACAACAGCCAGGGGCTGTTGGGGTTGGTTCTGCAACATCCTGTAAAGGATACCCAACTAATGTTGTATACCAATTAATACCTTTGGTTATCCTATACACAATACACTGGTTGGTGCAAAAGTAACAACATGGTTTCAAGAAATAAAAAATTTTTTGTTTTGTTTTACACTCAAAGATTTACATTTTCTGTTTGCAGATATTGTGAAACACATCAAGGAGTTTAGATATGGAATGTAACACTGCTAATCAAACAAAGAGGACCATAGAACTCTATTTTAGAAACTGGGTATACAGTCGTCATTATAAGCAAAACTCTCTGAGTTCAAATCTCACCGAGTCAGCTAACAAAGCAGACTGTACGCCAGTGGATCCCAGGCCACTGCAACATTAAGAGAAATGAAAGAACAGAGCACTTAGCAAAAACTGGAAGTTATTCAGAAAGCCAGATACCGGATGTCTTTCCTTAAACACAACACAGATCAAGACAGCCACTGGAACCCACTGGAAGACTTCCTATCCAGGACCCAGCTCTTAGACCTCATCACAAGAAAGAAACAGACCATTATATTTAGACTGCATACCAGACATAGTTGACGCTGGAGCCATAAGTACAAGAAATTCAAGACTAGGGATTCAGAACTTTGCCCACGTGATCAGACAGCACAGAGTACCGAACATGTGCAACAAACCAGGTTTGGCTAGTTGGTATTCCAATGGAAACCAAGCTGTATGAAACAGAGGAAGACACGTGTCACACCACAAACTTTACAGAAGTCTGTGGCCTTCTCATCTAAAAAAAACAAAACAACAACAACACTGGCAGAAAGTATGAAAAGAAGAGGAAATCTCAGCCCTCCCCTGAAGGTACCTCCACCTTGCGGCAGGTGGGCGAGCCTGAATTTCTCACTGAGTAACAGTGTATACTATTGCTAGGATTCCTAAACTGCACAGGTCAAAGGGTCGAGAAAAAGAGAGAGAGACACCTAAGTTCTCCAGGCTGACCTGTAGGTCAGATGGTAGCACCAAGGAAGAGACTGAGGCCTTCCTGCTAAAATATTGACAAAGACACCAGTAACTGCATAATTTCCAGTGTGGAGAGTGGAATGCATTTTCTGTTGTTGTTACTTTGTTTCGCTCTCTAGTTTTTATGCTGCCTTCAACAGCTTTTATACGTAACTCAAATGTGTGCAGTTAGACCACTGTGAAGGAGGCATTACTGAGCAGTGGCTGGTCAACTAGTTAGAATGTTGTGTTCAGATTGCTACAGATCCTCAGTAAGCTTGAAGAAAATGTTGTTCCTGTGAGGAAAAAATAAAATCCTAACCTACAGTCTGTGGTTACTGTAATAGTCATGTAACACTAAATCCTCAGGCAAAAGGACTCCCACTCTTCCTCTTCCGAATCCAAGATCACCCCCACCACTGCCCCCATAACACAAAGTGGTATATACAGACAGTAAGAACAGATAATGCTTTCAAGGTTAGATATATCAGACATACTTTTCTGGCAAGGGTTGAGGAGGCTTGCTCATCTTCTCTTCAAGTTCTTTGATTAAACCAAGCTTCCATTCTCGGCGGCGTATCTGCCATGTTCCTAATCCAAAAGCTGTCATTGGAATAATCTGTTCAGAGGAAATGGATTGTTAATTAATGTATCTACCCATAATCTAGAGCATATTTAACTAAAATGACTCATAAAAGGTGTTCAAAGTTTATGGGATCCAGTTCTTTGCATTTTATTCTCATATGCACTGGTCGCTCTCTCTGTAGAGTGACTGATTGAAAACATGGGAAATCATGTAAAGAATTAACCCTGTAGCTTCTGTGATAAGCCCAGCTGCACTTGCAAAACTGTCTGAAATCAAATGCAAAACTTCAGGATGCAAGATCTGGGAAATGGGGGGGGGGGGGGGGGGGGGGGGGGGGGGGGGGGGGGGGGGGGGGGGGGGGGTGGGTGTAATATATACCCCTTTTTTTTCAGAGCTCAAGACTTGGGTCATTTTTGTAAACAGATGGGGTATATAGAACAACCCCCCCCCCCCCTTTTCCCCCAGCATGACGTTAAAAGGAACTAATTAGAAGTTGGTTGAAATGTGTTGGGCCAAAAGGCACACATATCAGAGCCTAGCTGGAAACCACAACACAATTTTGTCAAAAGTCCTCCTGAACCCTTCTGCCCTGAGAAGCCACAAAATTGACACTTATGTTTGGACCTAGTTCCTCACAAATGTTACATTTCCGAATTGCCTATGGTGACCTGCTTAAGGGAAACATAGCTGATGTTAGTTTATGTCACGCCTGTATAAATGTTAAGTCATGGTATGAAAGCCTTGAAAAAAAAGTACTTGGGGTTTTCCTTTGCAACCAATTAGCTTTTCTAAAGCCAAGCATCAGTCATCTGATTCATATGTTTTTCAAACCCTGGGCAATGTCTTCCATTTAATGTTTCACCATGTTTGTGTTTCATTATTACCGTCTTCATTTATCTGTATGCATTTTGAGAAAAAAACTTGAAAAATTAGGGAAGCAATTTTAATGAATTTATTAGTGACGTGTAAAAACTGTTTATTTTCAGATTATATAAAAAAATGAAATGACAATGGGGTCATGGTTTTTTTAATTGTTTTTAGCATTCCCGTGTGAAAAGTTAAAGGCTCAATGCTAGAACAGAAGAAGAAGAAGGAGAAGAAGAAGAGGAAGAATGTTTTAGTACATCAACAAAACAGAACCAAAAAAAAAAAAAAAATTATGTGCATGCAATATATCTTCCTGCCTTGCCCTTGCTCTTTCTCCATCTATCCTGCCAGTTATAACTTGTTCTGAAGTCCATTCCTTTTCATATCATGTCCAAAAACACAAAAATAAAATCTGATTGTCTATTGTTTCTAATCAGTTTATGGTTTTCATCTGTCTCGAAGAAAAAGAAAAAATCCATAGCTGACGCTTACTGTTGAATAATTCTGGAATGCAAGAAGCCTTGCCTGGCCTGCAGGAAATAGGTGGTACATAAAGACAACAAACAGGAGCACCCTGACATGCCAAATAACTGACTGTTCTTACTATCTGCATTTACCAATTTTTAGAACAGTGTAGACACAGGGGTCTTAAGTCTTAGGAAACAGGTCGGCATGGCTATTTCATTCATCCTGAACTGTGCAGTGTAGGGTTTGTGTGTATGTGTTTGTGCACTCCCAATCAAAACAAATCATCTTCTTACTGAAGATTCAAACCCAGGTCCCAGCATCCTAACCACACAATAGTTATGAAACAATAAGTTCACAAAGCTGAAAGAGTTCAATTAGATACAATTCTTTAAAATGTAATAATCTCACCAACAGTGGGTACCCTTTTCCTATGAAAGCTGCTCTTCTGACTGCTGGCTTTTCCCTTGGTATTTGTCTGGGAACATTCTCTGCCTGCAGGTTCTGGGAAAAATGTCTGTCTCCAACCTCCAGAAGAGACATACAACCACAAAATTAAGTATAGTAGGAAAGAGAGGTGCTGACACAAGGAAAATACTTGGGAGAATTTGAGGGAGGCCCTCACAGGGCATATCCTTGTTTAAGTGATTAATAACAACAATATTTTAATTATTCAAGTAGTAGCATTTTAATAATTTGCGAGTCTGACTCGTAATTCCAACATACCACGATTGAAACCCACAGCTGGGTACCTGGATTTTTTTCATGGTATGGGGTGTCACATGTCGACCCAGACTAAAATAGGTACCAGGATGGCTGTCCTGGGGAAGTAAAGACGGCTGGCTTAATGCTAGCCACATTACCCACCTAGTGCCGATTGGTTCTGTAAAAAAATATGGGATGCTCTTCCCATATGCCTGGTGCGCCTAAGGCATGAAAAAGGATCTTTACTTTTTTAATAATAATAAGAGTTATATTTTAATGAAGAAATTAACACCCGATGCTGTACAGCAGGCCAAGTATTGGGACGGCTAACTCCACCTTTTTAACAGCATAATGCAATCCCAATCAGCAGACAGAAAAATTTCATACAAAGCAAATTCATTCCCACCCTATGCTATCAGTGCAAGACATGGACACTCACAACAAACCATAAAAGAAAATTAGTAACTATGGAAATGAGGTGTCTGAGAAAGACTGTAGAAATGACAAGAAGAGATAAAATCAGGAATTAGGTCATACAAGATAAAGTCGGCACAGAACCAATCCTAAATTACATACAAAGACAGCAAATCAAATGGTTTGCCCACTTGGAAAGAATTTCTCTGAAGCTATACCTTACAAATCATACACCAAAAGAAGAGAATGACATAGAGGAAAGGGTAGACAAAGAACAATATGGAAAGATAACATCAGAGAAACTCTACAGCACTAAAATGTGTCTATTGTCGAAGCAGCCAGAACAGCACATAATAGGACCTTATATCTCCCTCGACACCCGAAGCAGTTAAAAAAGACCTAAAGAAGAAGAAGAACAATTTACGATCAACTGACCCTTAATATCTCAGTTATGTGTTAAATATTTTCAATAAAATATTGTATTATTAACTCTTTGAGTCCCAAGGATTACACCATACGTTCATAGGTTCCTACCCAGAAGCCCAATGAACGCATGATGCGCCGATTTTATGACTCTCTGTAATACCCGTTGGGCCTGTGATGCTAAACCCCTTGGGACTCAAAGAGTTAAGTCATGAAGATGGTCAGTAATAACCAACACAAGTAGACTTCAATTTCGATCAAACAGTAAAAGTGACAACTCTGATTCCTTGTATGGTAACCAGAGCTTTTGACTGTTATGTTGTCTAGTGTGTCATAGAGTGCTGCCTAGGTTGCCTGACTGTATGCAGCATATATTATAGGCTGCACTTTCTCGTGGGAAATAGGCTGCACTCTCTCATGGCACGTAGGCTGGACTCTCTTGTTGGACATAGGGGGTTGGGGTTAGGGTCAGTTCTGCATGTTTTGGGACTGTATTGCCGGCTGGTGACAAAGCCTGACACCCTGGCAACATAGGACAAGCCCTGTACTTGGCTAATTATGAATGGCAAGGGAAGTCACTCTCATCCTGGGCTGGACTCCGTAAATGGGATCGTCAATATATATGTGTCCCCCTCCCCCCTTTTTTTCAACATTTTTTGGGCTGTTACTGCTACCTGAAGGTTTGACATCCTAAATAGCGACTACAGTTTCGACAATTTGCGGTCTTTTTGGCAATTTCCGTTACCATGGAAACCGTTTAAAACTTGTTTGGGAAATGTCGGCTGGGGTTTCGGGATGAGTCCTAATCTCTCATGAAAGTTTGCGATTGGTGTGATTTTCACCAGCTATAAACAGCTGAAAACGGCAGGAACGGACCTGATTAACAGCGCATGTCTACGACAGCTGGATGTCCTCTGTTTTTCTGTATATCAGTTTGATTGAAAATAGCGATAAGTATTCAAAGTTGGCTTAAGGCCTTAAACATTACCAGACATGGTAATGCTAGTTATAATTGAATTCTCCGTCCAATTTTACATTTGTGTATACAATTTCTTTCTTGTCTGTGGCTGTTTAGATGAACAGTGACATTTTTCAGGCAATTGCTAATATGTGGCTGTGTCTGAGAAAAACTGTCTGCCATCTTCAAGATGATCTTGTCCAATGAAAACAAAGCCAAAACGAAAGTTGCGCAGAGAAAACTTCTTGTTTCTCAGACGCAAGTTTTAGCAGCTGCTTTCTACATCTCATCTCCACAAAAACCTACATATCTCAGCTCAGAAATGACATACAAGCCTAAATGAGGTACCGTTGGAAAGAGATTGTTTACAGCTATCTAAATGTGCTGGTTTTATTGGTATAGAGGGCATTTTAAAAATTTGACTAAAGTATCTACCTAAGATTACAGATTACAAAATCCCAACTAGGATGGCAGATCAACAAAGCAAATAAAATATATCCCTTTCAACATCTAAAGAAGTAATTACTCTCTAGACTCTAGGGCCCCTTTAATGTTAACGGATACGTTAGACTTTTGTGAGTGTCAGGACTGTGTGTACAGTAAACCCAAACCCGCGGAGAGGGGTAAGGCTTACAATCCTACATTGCACGAAGATATACCTGTTACCTTTAGTTTTGCAATCTTCCCGTATACACGAGTAAGGTTTCTACACAACAGTTTACAGATTTCAGTGGACATCCTCTCGTTTCGTCAAGTTCAAAATAAAAACTGACAGATGACCGATACTGTTAGAGACAATTCCAGAGTGTTGTCCCCTGGCACAGGAAGCTGGAGTGAAACAATAAATAGATTCTCATCCTTTCGTCATCATCATGTGCCGCGCGGATAAGCCTCTAGGAAATGGGTATAGGAGTTAAACACTCTTGGGTAAATGGAGGAACGGAGCTGTAGCTAAGAAGTTTCGTGCGGACAGCGACACAGGGGGACAGTTTTTTTTATCAACTGGCAGAGTACTTATGGTTTATAACCGTGTGCATCTTCCGCATTTACCTTTCACCTTTTTAGTTCATCTTGAGGAATTGATAGGCACTTCCAGTAAAAACTGAATTCAGAAAGAAATGTGGTGCTTTAAAAATAAACTACTCCAAAGACGTCAAAGGGCATTCCACCTTTTTAGAGGGTGTTAAGACTGGGTGTCCGGGCTTTCTTTGCTTTTAATGACCACATACGCCCCACGAGAGATTGCAGCCTAGGTCCCACGAGAGATTGCAGCCTAGGTCCCACGACTGCATGCAGCCTAGGTCCCACGAGAGATTGCAGCCTAGGTCCCACGACTGCAGGCAGCCTAGGTCCCACGACTGCATGCAGCCTAGGTCTCACGACTGCATGCAGCCTAGGTCCCACGACTGCATGCAGCCTAGGTCCCACGACTGCATGCAGCCTAGGTCCCACGACTGCATGCAGCCTAGGTCCCACGACTGCATGCAGCCTAGGTCCCACGAGAGATTGCAGCCTAGGTCCCACGACTACATGCAGCCTAGGTCCCACGACTGCATGCAGCCTAGGTCCCACGAGAGATTGCAGCCTAGGTCCCACGACTGCATGCAGCCTAGGTCCCACGACTGCATGCAGCCTAGGTCCCACGAGAGATTGCAGCCTAGGTCCCACGAGAGATTGCAGCCTAGGTCCCACGACTGCATGCAGCCTAGGTCCCACGACTGCATGCAGCCTAGGTCCCACGACTGCATGCAGCCTAGGTCCCACGACTGCATGCAGCCTAGGTCCCACGAGAGATTGCAGCCTAGGTCCCACGACTGCATGCAGCCTAGGTCCCACGACTGCATGCAGCCTAGGTCCCACGACTGCATGCAGCCTAGGTCCCACGAGAGATTGCAGCCTAGGTCCCACGAGAGATTGCAGCCTAGGTCCCACGACTGCATGCAGCCTAGGTCCCACGACTGCATGCAGCCTAGGTCCCACGACTGCATGCAGCCTAGGTCCCACGAGAGATTGCAGCCTAGGTCCCACGAGAGATTGCAGCCTAGGTCCCACGACTGCATGCAGCCTAGGTCCCACGACTGCATGCAGCCTAGGTCCCACGAGAGATTGCAGCCTAGGTCCCACGAGAGATTGCAGCCTAGGTCCCACGACTGCATGCAGCCTAGGTCCCACGACTGCATGCAGCCTAGGTCCCACGACTGCATGCAGCCTAGGTCCCACGACTGCATGCAGCCTAGGTCCCACGACTGCATGCAGCCTAGGTCCCACGAGAGATTGCAGCCTAGGTCCCACGACTGCATGCAGCCTAGGTCCCACGACTGCATGCAGCCTAGGTCCCACGACTGCATGCAGCCTAGGTCCCACGACTGCATGCAGCCTATATACCGCCCACTAAAATAATAGACGTGCCGGTGACCTGTGGATTTTCCCTGTTTGGGGTAGGATATTAAAAAAGCACCATAAATGTTTACTGCAGTGTTGAAACGAACAGCCAGTCCATCAACAGCCTTACCTAATGTTACATAGAAAACATACTTTCTGAAATATGCTTTTTAAGAAGATTCTTCCATTTCGAATTTCTCTGATACATCTGCTCGTCTGTATCACATTCCTCATAGCACCTGTTTGTTTTCCGTGTTGCTTCCCCCCCCCCCCCCGACATCCAGAGCGCCTCACTTCTACGCACAAATTAGAAGCCACGTGCCTAATTTCGCTCCATATACTTTTCCATCGGTTTCCGAAGCTTTGTTAGATCTGAAATCAAGCCTTTTAAGCCCGACACTTCGGCATCCAGCTATGAAGTTTGAACAACGGATCAACATCATGGCACACGGGTGTAATCCATAAGTGCTCCGTTTTTCTTCTAACTAAGTCTGAGTCAAAAAAAGCTCAGTACAGCACACAGGCTCTGTAGCAATGGTAAGGATCCTGAAATACTTTGGGTACATTTTTAACACAAAATTTTGCCCGGGTAGCGCCGTTAGGCTACTCTTTTCGATTTCCAGCTGCCAAGGATTTTTTTTTTTAGGTGCCCAACAATGCACACGGGCGTCTGATCTCACTACCCAGAGACCAGGAGGAAACTATAAATTTCTGGACTGAATATCCTTGTTACACGCATGAGGATAATTTCTAAGGTGCGTCTGAGAAAACCCCTGATCCCTATCAAATTCAAAAATTAATATCTTAAAGGCTAATTTGTTTATGAGGTCACAATTTTCCTGTCCACCTTTACTTATAAAGAAATGTCCTGGGACATATTCTACACTGAAGTGAGATGGAAGGCTTAGATCAACACACGTCAGGCATCGATGTGGATTCTTATGCTTACCGCCTTAACTTTTAAGGAAACTCATTCCTGTTTTACTCGAAATGAAAACTGGCGAACTAATCACACACACGCATACACACACGCACCACACACTTACACAGACAACAATAACAACGTCATCTTACTTTTCACTGAGCTTTCGCGGGTCTCTCATGTTGTTGCAGAATAACCTATTCATCTTTTTTTCATTTTCAGTTCATATTTGATCATTGCAATTCTTTACCTCGCATATTCAAGGTTCATATTTTCATGACATTTGTGGTCTCCGTCGATTGTTTCTTATCGTTTTCATAAATTGTTGCGAATGCTCGGGTACCAGCACAGATCTATGTTAAAAAAAAGTACAAATAAAAACAGACGAATGGAAACACTGTACGAAAGCTAATAAGGACAGTAATCATAACAACAATAAAATTAAAACATACATATAAAACACAATATAAAGAGCCGACAGACGATAACTACATCGAATCCCAAACTTCGCTGAGGTAACTGAAGGCAGACAAGAAGTATAAAGAGGAGATTCGTGCCTAACATTGTGTGAGTCTGTTACTGCAGTATGAAGGATTACCATCCCGGAAACCATTCAACTGTATAGCCATATTGCCGAATTATACTTGAAAACCATGAAACGGTTACAGAATAACCTGCAGACTACTGTTGACAGAAGTTGACTGCAATACGTACAATAATAACGGCACATATTACATAGTTACTGTGTGAGGCAATCATCTCTTCCAGGATGCGACTCTCTTACCACTATTCGAAAGACACGGAAAGTTCTGTTTTTTTTTTCTTTTCTACCTCAGGAATCAGAACTTGGTAAACGTCCAATATTGCATTGTGAAACTATTTCACCTACTTTTAAGCTAGAATAATAGACACGGTTGGCTGTTTAGAGATATCCGAGGTGAGCCCTGTTGACCAGAAATAGAAATATTATTGTGAAAAAAAAAAAAAAAAAAAGGCTGGTCAAAACAGACTGACATACAAGGATGCATTCACTAATAGAAGTACATGTGGCGATGCGGCGAAGAATATAGCTGACTTTTTACACGCGTATCATGTCATCATAAAGCATATTCTTTAAGGTGCCAGCTGACTCCTCTCTAACTGCATCCCTGATATGTACATCATTATGATCTGTCTAAGCTACGACCCTGTCGAGAAAAGCCTGCTCTTTCTCCGTGTCTGTTGTCATACGCACACCATCGTCTCTACAAATTGTTCCCACTGTCATAGGCCGATCTTTTCTTTGCAGTTTCCAGAATTTCCCCAATGTTTGATCGCCTCCCATATCATTCACAAAAGTTTTCCACTTTGCTCTTTTGACCTGTGCAGCACAGTGCTTGCAAATCTCCACTTAATCTTTCTTTTTTTTCCACATTTTCCGCCATCTCCACTTCCTCTCCTGAACTTGAGGGTGTCTGTCGTACTTTCTTTAGCAGCTTCTTTGCCTTCCATGCCTGTTCTACTTCTGGAGTCCACCATGGGAGCTGTAGAAAATTAGTTCTGGCAGTTCTGTTGCATGCTCCCTGTCTGAGGCGTCCCATAGGTTGTTGGTCCACTTATACCGGAAGGTCTTGCGTTCTCTCCCAGCCTTAACCTTACTAGGTTTAGAAATCAGTACTGAACATGGTAAGTCTATTTAACACCTAAAACCTACGAATGGGAGACAAATGTCAAGTCAATGGCTGTGTCTGCATCGCCAGACCTCATTGCCATTCTAGTCGGCCTCCCATCATTGATGCACAACATATTGAAGATAACCATGGCTTCTGCTAGAGCAATTCCCTGTCGTTTTTCTCCACCGCTGTCCCATTCTCTGTTCCTAACGTTGAAATCCCCACGTATGAGTAACCTATCACCTGGTAGCTCCTCCAATTCCTTGAACCAGTCCCATTGTTCCTTTCTGACAAAACAGTCTACCGTGGCATATATATTTATGAGGTTCCAACTTAAGCCACCAATCTCCACCTGCATTCCTTGAACTTCTCTTCCACTGTGGTTCCCCTGGCTCAAGTCAAGCACCACATGATTCACTCCTTTCTTCACCACCAGACCTTGTCCATGTCTCTCCTGTCCTGTGTGTTGGGAAATGAATACTGATGCATGATAAGGCAAACCTGGTTAGTGCCTTGTAGGATAGCGTGTACAGTTCGGAGGAGCAGATGGATCACCACAGTCTGGTAAGATTGATACAGGGGGAGTGACGAGAGGTTCTGGCAGATGCTCGAGGCTCAGAGGAAAGGCAAGACGGACGTTTAATCAGAATGCTACTGGGAAAATTAGTATTAGAACTCTTCGCTGGCTGCTGAAGATGGGGACGGAGCGTTTATGGGAATGCCCCAAATGCTTTGATAACAGTTTCTAATACAAATCAAATCAAAAGTCATAATCAGGTTTAACTTTAGGTCTGTTCATATTAGGGAGTCTTGTGTGAAGTACATCGACCAAGACCAGTTACGCTGTGAAGTGTATTAAAATCGCTGTAAATAACCAGTCCATTTGTAAGCCTCTGGCCGAGGTAGTTACTGATACGTCTATTTGTAGGCCTCTGGCCGGAGCATTGTCCGATTAGTCTTTTGTAGGCTAGCCCAGAGCCGAGGTATGTCCGACCAGTCCACTGTAGACTCCCACAGAACCGAGGTATGTCCGATCAGTTCATTGTGCGCCCCCCCCCCCCCCCCCCGAGCCGAAATATGTCTTCATAGTCTCTTGTCAGCCCGGTGGCTGAGGTAACAATTAATGGAGAGAACATATCTAGGAAGATTTACTGGACGTCGAAGAGGAATTTAACTTGTCAAGAGTCCTGATGTTTGCTGATCATGATGTATTTGATTTTGTTGTTGTTGTTGCTTTTTGTGTGTCAGTGGTGATATGTATTTTTTAATTGTAATGATGAATAGAGGTGATGTGATTGTAATGATTTTGCTGGTTTTATAGTGTCTCCTATACAAACGCCAATGTTTACGTGTTGCGATGATTGTCGTCGTCATTGAAAAAAATTTGTAATGGTTTTACAGATCTGATGGTGTCTGAGACAAAACGTACATGTTTGCAACGTTCCAATGATTATTGCCATTTTTGATGTTATTTCCTGCTTAGAACATATATTTTCAGTATACCGTCTCTTTGGGACGAGCCATGTTTTGCTTCTATGTCAATGACAGTGATTTTTGTTTTAGGTGTATGTTTATGGTACTGCAAGTAACTAGTGATTGCGTCATATCAGGAGACTGATTTCGTTTCAGGTGGCTATGGCCAGTAACTTGACGGAGGTTAGAACAAGAGTTGAACAGGGATTGGTAGACAATGATCGTTTTTGACTGTGTAGTTGTCGGGACGCCAGCATATTTGGTGGGGGGATATTTTGCAGGACGCTAAAGGCTGTTTTTAATTTATTTGTTACTCGCACTTACGAGAAAAATCTGACAGCTCAGGGAGTCACATTTTCTATAAAGAGGTCTTGTTATGTGCTGTGCGCCCTCTCTTTGAGTGTTTTCACTCGTAAGCAGAATTAGTGCTGGCTGGTGCGTATATGATAGTCGTGGATCACCGCAAAATGTTAAAAGTCTGAAACCACGGGGCGTAGAATGCATTCTCTAGTGGGACCTAGGCTCATCTGCGGGAGGTTAGGTGGCGTGGTGTTAGGGTCAGTTTTGCATGTTATGGAGTCTTTAAACGCGCTCACATCCTTTAATATAGAGAACGCGTTGTCGCCGGTAAGACCGTCGACGCAATACAACGTCGCACCAACCTGACACCTCTGCGACCTAGTCTTACCTGTCTGAAAGATTAAAACGCATGAAGGAACGTCAAAATACAGTGTGCTGGGCCCGACTTCGTTAGATGTACGCTGTTGATTATTCACCTCTTAGGCAGATGTACTCCGACTTCGAAGGAAACACACTTAATTAGTCGCCTCTTACTACATGCTTATTATGGGAGCAGTTTGCGTATTCTTATTCTTTCCCCAGTGGGACGGCGGAACCCACACGGGCAGCTTCGTTTATATAAAATCTGCTTTCTTCCCTTAAATGTTTACTAATTCATATCCAATTTGGACAATCCCAGAACATATTCCTTTCTATTCTGTCAACAGCTATTTATGGTCAGTATATTATTTGGCATACCTAAAGAAAACAAATCACACTTTAAATAAGCAAAGCAAAAAAGAGTTGTTATTAAGGGTTCAAGCTGGTTTATTTGGAACCAAATGTAATTAGACTAGTGAAGTAAAAACGTACTGCATGTCTCTATTTAATTAATACTACATTACCAACACTGCTGGTCAAATTTAGTTAAAAAAAAACTATACTGGTGTGGGATGGGAAAAGAGGCTGTTGTAAAACCGAACATATAATTTTAAAATATGTAAACTACTCAAGTCTACTTATAGAAATATTACCTAAACTACTGGTTTTAATGGTTTATGTCAAACTAAGCTTTATACTCTGTTCAGGACTTGTGTGAGAGTGGCATCTCCTACTGTGGTTACCTGGAGAAAATCAATTCATTATTATGAATAATATTTTAGATTATAATTTAGTGCAGAACACAAATAAAAATGATCTACTCTGCATATGTATAAGACGTACCAAACAACGTTGTTATGTGCAACGAAACTGAACTAGAAATTAGCATATAATGACTTGGCTATTTACTCTGCTTCTTCCTTTCCTCCTCCCCTTCCTCCTTCCGCTCCTCTTTCTTCCCTTCTTCTTCTTCTTCTTCTTCTTCTTCTTCTTCTTCTTCTTCTTCTTCTTCTTCTTCTTCTTCTTCTTCTTCTTCTTCTTCTTCTTCTTCTTCTTCTTCTTCTTCTTCTTCTTCTTCATCTTCTTCTGCTTCTTCTTCTTCCTCTTCTTCCTCTGCTTCTTCTTCTTCTTCCTCTTCTTCCTCTACTTCTTCTTACTCTTATTTTTCTGTCTGTTCTTGTTACTAATACTATCATCCTTCCACTCCAAACTACTCACCTATCTACAACTTCCGACCTCACTATAAGTCCTTTAAACATTTTCGGATCATTATCAATTGACTGTACCTATACTCATGTCCACTACATCTATACCATTTTTTACAAGAAGAAAACTTGTCTAAACAATTGAAAAAGGCCACACACACACAAAAACACAACCCCCCCCCCCCCTGCCCAAAAAAAAGGCAAAAAAAAAAAAAAAAAAGCACATGCACATGCAAGATGCGAAAACATAAAGGCACAAAAAAGATGTTAAATGTGGGGACCTGAAAAGGGCCGTGTTTTATGGCGCAGGGTGGCAGTCTTGTTTGTTTCGAGATGGTGACACTGGTGGTGCCTTGGTGCACTCAGCGACGGCGGGCTGGACAACAAGATACACAACAAGGAAAGGACATAAGGCTAACAAGTGGCACGAATACAGGCGTATAGACACGCCACAAATGGACAAAAAAAAAACTATTGGAATTCCCAATCAATTAAACGCAGTCCCAACATAACCGCCGCTCAATTTTGGGGCTGGTTAGGGCGACAAGAACTTTTATTTTTTTTTCAAACAAACTGGAACTGGAACTTCCTATTCCTCGCCTTCTTTGTCACCTTCTTGTAAAGTGTGTGATTCTCTGACCTTATTCAGTGAAGAAATCAGTATTCTATGAAGTAGTTCTTTTTAAAATTTGAAATAATTATATGCTAAGGAGAACTGAAGATAAGGACACTTACGGCTGTCATGACATCACCCTCGACTTTTCTTGTTACTTTCCAGGAGATGTTCTTTTCGGTATAAACGTATGTCTCTACTGGCTGTCCGTTCTCCACAGTCAACGTCAGCTGAGCGGGAAACAAAAATAACTTAATTTGTGAGAATTTAACTGTTGTGGGGAAAGAAATACTGACTCAATGAATAGTTTAGGGTTTCTGTTGCATGCTAATTTGGGAGAGTGTAATATTGTGTGAAGGGTCAGAGTGGTATGATAGTACCTTCCAGGAACTCAAGGGGAATATTGTCAACACTGACTCTAGTAGTGAGGGGGAGAGAATGTTGACCAGTGAAAATGTATTATCAACGAAGGATGCACGGCACTGGAAGTAGACGCGTGCGTTTACGGTGGGGGCTGACAAGCATGGCTAACGAGACACGGAGAGAAAGCATGATTTAAGTGACAGCGTGATTCTCATGTAATATCAGCCACCCACATAAGCGTGATCCTCGAGAACGCCCACAGAAGCGTGATCCTCGAGAACGCCCACATAAGCGTGATCCTCGAGATCGCCCTCATAAACGTGAGTCTCGAGAACGCTCACAGGAGCATGATTCCCGAGAACGCCCACAAGAGCGTGCCTCTCGTGTAAACATCAGCCGCCCACATGAGTTCGGCAGGGATATATTGGGGCTACGTAGACTGTCCGAGGCAGTGAGCTGAAGCCACAGAGCTAAAGCACTGAGGAAGTGAGGGTGTAGTACACACCCAGCACGAGGGTACTGTACATCAGTAATATGAGAGACCAAGATGGTCAGTATCTCTCGAGTGAGACAGAGTACCGTCAACTAAAAGACATCAAGGTCTGAGTAAGGGTTGTGGTACGGGACAAAGGCAGACAGAGTATCGTGTAACTATCAGGCATCAAAGTCTGAGTAAGGGTTGTGGTTGCGGTACTGGTCGAAGGTATATTCTGGCTAGCGAAGTAAGTCCAAGGGGACTGGATGCTCCAATAGTGACTGTTCTAGGTGATGGCGCAAGGAGTCACCACGGAAACAGAACAGTAGGGAGCCCGACGAGAGCTGTGTGCTAGAGGGGACTTGTGTTAGAAGTCCTGTCGGTCATCGGAGTCCTTCGACAGGCTGACGTGCTGTGTGCTTTGGAGAACAGGCAAGGGAAGTCCGACTCCAGTCAGCCGTGATTGTCTGCTGAAGTAATATCAAGGTCCAGTGGGTAGTAGAGTTCGTCCTATAGGTTGAGAGAGAGAGAGAGAGAGAGAGAGAGAGAGAGAGAGAGAGAGAGAGAGAGAGAGAGAGAGAGAGAGAGAGAGAGAGAGAGAGAGAGAGAGAGAGAGAGAGTGAGGATTAAATGGACTATGTTCGAATGCCAATATGTCTACGTCTCTGCAGTTTTGTTGAGCTTGTAACTACACTCTTGTTGTCTGTCGAATAAACATGCTATGTGACGGAACTAGTGTCGTCGAGTCCTGCTTCGAGAGTGTGGGCAGCGAAAGTGATATCTACAGCCACTTGGTTGTGTGCTGATTAGTGTGTCACTCAGATAGCACACAACAGTTTCCTTTGGACGTGCTCCCATCGCCAGTACCTGTATTTCTTATTTAAGTGTATGTCTGGTAATTATCTCTTCTCGCTTATTTCTTCTCAGGATGTGTCCAATATTGCGCCATCTTCTCTGTCTTCTAACTGTTGTTACCAATGGTTTCCCAGACATTTCTCTTGTGTCAGTACCTATCTGGAATTCATACTATTTGATGTTTCAACATTTTCCTGACGATGTAAATCCTGTATGCATTTACTGCTTTTTAGGGAGGCATAGACGGGGTGGGGTGGGGATGGGGGAAGGGATCCGAGAGCTTGACGATTTAGGGTCACATGGTTGGTTCTCTTCCCAAGAGCTGTGCAGGATAAGATATTTTGTGTGTGCTCCTGAACAGAACAATGTTCATCACGTCATCGAGGGTCGTACTCGGGTCTCTCGCATTAGAGCCTGATATTGTAACCGCTCACCCAGCCGCTGTACAGATAGTAAGAGATGTTAATCCCTAATCAGATTGGTTACAAAATAGTTTGTGTATCCAGGGCGTACCTGGATGACTAGTCCATTTGGATTCGTCGAGATAAGAGCATGATTCTGGTAATCTTTTGAAATGGCGAAACTTTGGGCCTGCACTTATAACCAGTGCACACAATGTTGATGATTTTACCCCCAGTGTAAATAAAGACATAGTGTTAGGGTCTTTACTTGTCTTACTTTATGCTCGGTATGCCTAAAGCTTACTAACCCTGGAATCCTTATGTGACTTATTATACAAAATCAGATTACCGAGGATAGACCTAAAGATGTGTGGTGGTCTAAAGAGAAAGGTGATGGAGTATACAGTCTTCGGAAAACGAGTCAGAAGCAGATCACCAAGAAGGTGAAAATAGACATTAAAGGTGCATTGGCGTTGCAGGGCTGCAGAATTGGCTAGAGAGACACAGAGACAAGGAAAAAAGGGGAGAGACAGAGAGGGGAAGTGGCGGTAAGAGATACTTTAAAACGTACAGTGATAAACGTGACTTTTTTAAAAGTACTTGCTGTTTATTGATTAGACACGAAGATATAACCGCAGTTCTGTTACTTACCTTGGCGGTGTAGCCTTCGACAGACTTGTAGTCTATTGTTTCACCAACTTTTAGAGTGTAGGAAGCATTAGGTACAGCTCCCTTAAAATCGACCTCGATTTTGTAGGCGTCGCCTTCCTGACTGACGGTGACTGCGTAATCTAGATTTCTGTAGCGCTCGGTTCTCTCTGGTGTAAAGGCTGCGAGAATAAAAAAAATAAATTGATGTCTGAACGTTGAATGTTGATTTTTGAATCGACATCACAGCACTCGGGGCATTCCCATTCAGGCTCCGTTAACCATTTTTAACAGCAAGCGCAGAGTTCCAGTTTCGATGTTACTAGTAACCGTGTTACCGGAGCCCTCAGGGGAAGCAAAGAATAGTGACACTGCACCCTACCAGGCATGTCGTAAGAGGCGACTAAGGGTAGGGTTGAGTTTTAGGTTGGCTACCTCATCCTGTAATAACAATAGCCACAAAAACCAACCAACCAAGGATAAGTCAAAAAGACAAGCAAGTAAAACCCAGCCAACCATGATGAGGATAGGCTTTTCAAGTAGAAGTATGACACGGTGTGGGGAAAGCAGTAAGGAGTCCGGATCGTTGACGTACCTCCTCTTAGCTAGGAAAACCTCCAGAATTGGCACTTGGAATGAACAATCGGTAGGCAGGCCAAACGATTTCTTGACCTCAGGGATGTGGTTTTACAGAACAATGCTTAAAATACGGTGGGGAAAAAAAAAAAGTAACCAAAAGGTTTTGAAAGAGGCAGGAGCTCCAAGACAACTAATCACAGACATCCGAAGAAGACAGTCATTATTTTTCGGCCATGTAATGAGAAGAGGGAAAATGGAACATGTGGTGACCACTAGAAAGATCTGTGGAAGGAGGGATAGAGGAAAACGAGAGATCTCACCCCATGTGAGTACTCTCGGTAATGCGCTCTCCAGGCTGACCCAATGGCCCTGCTGCGACTGTTGGCCTGCTTTATATACAATATGAAGTCAGTTTCGATATTGTGTGCTGTCTCTACAATGAAGTTTGACTGAAGTCAATTCACTTTGGGACCTTCCTTCGTGTGGTTACAACCTCCTCCACAGTGTACTAGTGTACCGCTATCCAAAACTAACAAGGACAGTCTTTTTTAGAGAATTTTCTTTTTTTTCAACCATGTGCTACGGAGATCCAACGCTATTACTTTAGGGACTGTGCAGTTGCGAAACGCATTATTTAGCTTTTAAGACACAGAGCGGAACATAAAAAGAATTGAATGTTGAATTAAGAATTGACATCACAGCACTTGGGACACTTTCACAAGCCCTTCGTCCCTATCTTCAGCAGCAAGCGAAGAGTTTCATCAGGTGACACAAAAAGATAATAATTTTTCTGTAAAAAATTAGGTTAGCACCTGACTTCCAGATATCTATGGTCATAATCATAAAATGCCTTGGTGACTGGAAGTGGTGAATGTGGAATTATTTACCTCCATCTTAAACTTTGCATGGAAATAGTTAATTCCACTCATTCTAAGTGTCGAATTAGTTGACAGCTTGTTTGTTTGTTATTCGGTCATTAATATTCTTCTTCTTGAAGTTCATAGACTTTAAACTCCGGTTGGAAGTTCTGGTTGTCTGTCTACTTCTTAACTTTCGGTTTGTTTCAGAACTTGAATTGTGCATCCGGCTTATTTGTATGTGGACTGTTGGTTCCTCGTACTCAGACGGATACACTCCCACTCCAAAGTCGAAACCCCTAAAAAGTCGGCTTTTACCACATACTTGTAAATGGCAGTGGGTATATTTTTACGTGCCCCCCCCCCCATCCCCACCGTGGGGGTCTAGAACACCCATTGCACGTCTTTAATAAATTTAGTCGATATATCTTTATAACCTAAACTAATTCCTGCTAATCAACTCTTCGGTCACACCAACCTTACAAATATTTTCAATACAAGGCTAAGAAATGGAGTTTCCCTTAGTTCAAACTAGAATATAAAAATCAGCAATTCCCATGAAAACTAAAATAGTTCTTAGGATCTATTTGCCAAGCCATTGTAGACAACCCGTAGATCAATAATGATCGTGGAAAGTTCAAGGTACAAACGACGACCTTTTTCATAATGTCAATACGGTCTCGTTCAGGGCAGGGTCAGATGGCCATTCAGTGTATGTTTATACGTAGTTCATCTCCGGCCTCTTTTTAATCTGTTAGGAAATAATCTGATTCAATAAGTTACGTACCAAAACACTAGATCAACTTCGTCTCGTTCATCTGGCAGGGTCAGATGGTCCCATAATTCATTTTATAACACCTGCGATTTCAGTTCTTATTGTCATAAAGTGTTGTTATTAAAAACCCTTCATTTTCATTTCCCTTTTGCTTTAAGAAATCACTGCTTTGTAAATCAGTATTTAAAAAACATATATGTGACTGCTAGAGAAAAGCAGTCTTGGGTGTTGACCCTGATAATCAATCAGCAGGGCCTATACAATTTAGCTCTCACGGCGCTAATATACTAAAAATGTTTCTATAGCCAATTCTTCAGTCCTTTGTGCTTAGATGTTGCTGATTTTGGCCTTTTTGGCTTAGATAATATCATATTTTATAATTACACGGAATTATATCAAGCAATGGGTGGCTGGCAAACTGTTTCTTCCCACGATAAAAGTGTAAAGTCCTAATGATGACTTGTTTGTGTTTAAGTAACTTTGTCGTTTTTTTACAGACTAGAGAAAGAACTTACCCATGACCCTGGCAAAGTCTTCTAGGCCAGTGGTTTTTGACAAGTCCACCTGCCAGGTACCAAGAATATTTGGATTCAGTGCCATTGTGTTGTAGAAACTAGTAGCTTATCTGTGAGGAAGAACAGAAAACAATATACATTTCAGAAGATATTCTCCCATCATTCTTCTTCTTCCACCTTGTACCTCATCGAAGTGTCGGGGAGAGATGTAACATTCGTTGATGAGCTCTGTCAAGAGCACTATTAAGATTGATATTCATTTCTGTAAGTCTGTTCTTAATGCCATCATGCCATCACTCCATATTTTCCGAGGTCTTCCATTCGCTCTATACTCGTAACGTTTTAGTGTGGCTTGCTGTGGTTGATAGTACCAGGGCATTCTTGTTAGGTGTCCAAACCATTTCATTTGTTGTTCTTTGATGACCTGTAAGACTAGCTTTATTTCTAGCATTCGTCTGCTTGGGGTTCAATAACTGCAGAGTTTTGTGTTCGTTTGTTTTGTTTTTGAGATTTCATGTGCAGGACTGCAGTTTGTAGGTTCTGAAGGATATGAATGTTACAGCTTCAAATTCTTGAAGTTCAGTTCGTCTGTAGAGCCAAAATAGCAGAGTTACACCATAAAACTCTCAATGGTATCGACGCCAATTACTAAAAACCTCAAACATTCATTAACTGGTGCCTGCGCAGAATAGAGGGAATTACATGGTATGATAACATCACTTATGAAGAGCTTTCGGAGAGAATAAAACACGTACCAGTGGATCAAGATGTGAGGAAAAGACGCTGGCGTTGGATAGGACAAACGTTGACAATAGAGCTAGAGAGTGAAGTTAAAAAACAAATGGGGAGGAAATGGGGAAGGCTGCATGCGATAACGAAGGATAGAACGACTTGGCCTCAATTGGTTGAAAGCCTGTGCTTCCCTAGGGGCTAGAAAGGCAGAAGAAGAAGGAGAAGAAGAGAGAACACAACACGGATACAAAGTAACCTTAGCACAGTGTGGGTGGGTTGCGATACCGGGTCTGTCCTTTTTCTGCCTGTTATCCCCTAATGGAACTTAAGCTGTCAACCAGCTCGGGTCAGACTGTCCTATTATATTCCACAGTGACTCTTTCTCATTTTATTTACGCGAGAGAATGAGGCACCTGGGTGTAACCAGAGGGTCTGGCCGGCTCACTACACTCAGAGGAACGGCAGCAAGGACATATAGCCAGACTGTGACCGGTACTATCAGTATTGGAACTCTGCTTCTTATCCATGTGTGTTTTGGTCTACTGTTTTTCCTTCGGCATTGAGGTTTGTAGTGCAAGGACATTTAAATTATACTAAGAGTTGCATAGGTTTAGTTAAAATGTGGTTATATTCAGAACCAAGGTTTTTTTTTCACCCCGTTTATTTACTGGAATGTTTTTTGTCCTTTCCCACGTTTTCAAAAATAGTACACTCTCTACTTAATTTATCAACTCGTTTTTACTTAATCTCTAATTTATTTATCTATGTCGGCCACGCCCTTAGAATGGATAAATCAAGACTTCCTTACCAAGCCCTCATTTGGACACCACAGGGAAAAAGATCTCGTGGAAGACCACGGGAAACCCTACGTAGAACTATCATCAGGGAAGGCTCGCTCATGGGCCACTCAAACATCCAAGACCTACAACGGATTGCAACGAACCGCCATGCATGGAGAGTCATGACCTCTGCCCTATGTGCCGCACTCGACACAAGAGGAAAGACTAACTAACTAACTAACTAATTTATTTACCCGTGGCTGTTTGCTCCATCTATATATCTGATTGTTTTTTTAAGCTTCAATGTATTTGTGTTTATGTGTGTGTGTATTTTTGGTCCACATTTACTTCGATACTTTGTGGATTAACTTGCACGGAAATAGTAATTAAAACCATAGAGTACTTAAACAAATATCAGCTTTTCCTAATGCGTGTCTTATCCAGAACCAGCATCTTTCCTTCACCTCCTGATTGACTAGTCATTATTTAGTTGCTGAAGACCATGAAAAGTAACAATCGATATTCAATATGTCATGCTCATATTTAGAACTGAGAGCGCAGTCCTATTTTAGTTGCCTTGTTCACCCACTTTGAATATATTGCAAAAATCCTACGCCTGTGAGAATAAAGCAAGGACACCCCCTCCCCCCACCACCCCCCCCCTCACTCATAACAAAATGTGATTACCACGCCAGCAGTTCTGTGCAGATCGCTTCTCATCCGATCGGCTAACGGTCTAGCCTAAAAAATGCTAAGTACGGCGAATGTTTTTGGGAAGTAAAGGCAGATGGCCGACGACTGACTGAGACCAGCTTGGAGTATTGATTGGTCTCTACACTGCTAGGAAAAGCATCATAAACTAAATCTGCTCATTTCCGAAAATGGTTCTTTACTTAGTTTTTTAGACTGGATCAAACAGAAGTCGACACTGGTTCCTTATTTGGCATCACCCAGAAATCGATAGTGGTTTCTTAGTTGGGATCAAACTGAAATCGACAGTATCAGTAAAATCATAAATATGTATCCCTAACGTGAAAGGCCAATAATCGCATTTCTGAACCTGCATACAAAGGGTTTATCGATGACAAAGATTGATTGGTTAATTCAGCTTAAGATGGATTGACTTATTGATTAAGTCTTCTTTCAGTGAAGCGGAAAACCCCAACTAGCCATCGATGTTGCAGCACAGGTCGTGTGATGGTATGTATGATGCAGTGATTCTCAGTTGGGGGCTAGAGAGGGGCGTCCCCCAGCCGGAGTTAGCGTGCTCCAAGAGGCGTTACAAATTTTGAAATTAAGTACATTTGTATTTGCAATAATTTGAAATGCTAACTTTGTTTTTATTTTAATTATAATTTATATAAATATATTTAAAACTTTTAAATTCAGTATCTTCTAGTGCACCCCTATATTGCCAAACTAGCTATGAATGTACTTTTGCTATTTTCCTCCACATACAACTTTAGTTAGTTGCGTATCCTTTACAGGACGTTGCAGAACCAACCCCAGCATTTTGTGTGTGTGTGGCTGTTGTGGGTTTTCTAGGCAAATTTTACGTTCCTTAGTTTACCATTGCTCTCTAAACTGTCAGCTATCTGTACCACTGTCAAAACAAACGCAGGACAAACCGTCCGCAGCTAGGATCGAATCCGACACCCCGGCGTTAATAAGAACGTTGTCGACGCTTCAGCCACAGACTCCGACATCACATACAATTTTAGGTCATAAAAACAAAACAGCGTTGCCAGCAATAACGTTGAGCACAGTCTCCCTTGTGCTTGTCCAACAGCAGATCAAAAATAGCAGACATCCTGAAGACAAAACTGTGTCAGCTATCACCTCGATATTTGAATACTAAATTACCAGTTGTGTGTATGTTTTCTTTCACCTTCTCCGGCAGTTGGTTTTTTCTCAAAGTTCCTGTTGATAAAACATGTTATTGGGGGGGGGGGGGGGGGTGTAATGTGGGGGGGGGGGGGGATTTCTTTTTAATCATAATTTTAAGTGGGGGAAAGGGGTGCTTGGGAGGGAAGGGGGTAGGGCGGCAGGGGTAGTTGTGTCATATAGTCAGCATACAATCGTAAACTGTTCAAATATTATCTAAGCACAGATTACATTCTCCCATAAAATATAAAAGTGTTTTAGAACAAACACATGTTTTCCCCAGATTTATTGCGTTTACTACTGTTTACTGTAGTATGCTTGCATAGAATATTTTGATGTTGTTCATCATATTTACTATTACTTTATTTATGAATAAAATGATGCGTGAAAGAGGGGAGACTAGAAGGGCAGAATGTTAGACGGGCCTATGTGCCCAATTTTAATCCTTTGAAAATAAAGTTTTCGTTCGTTCGTTCAATCAAGCATCACTTTTCCTTGCATCGAAAGAGTTGGGCACCCAAAACACGTCAAATGACAATGATATGTTGTAACAATATAGATACGCTGCATGCATTAGTATTAGTTACATCAAAAACAGAAGACCGCAAAAATTTGGTTTTACAGAAAAAAGCTTGCATTACAGGGTTATTCAAAATGATGGATACACTTTAATTCGTAAATATTTTCTTGGAAATAATTGAACATGAATAATATATATACAAGAAATAGGAGAAAGTCTAAAATGTCGAATACTACTCTTAGAGTGCAGGTGCCGTATCACAGCTGCAGTGAACTCAGTTACGCAAGAGAGGCTTCTTGGTGTGTAGGATGAGTTCGGCTACCGCTCTATCATAAATTTGTAAAACTTTAGACCTCAATCTCTCTCTCTCTCTCTCTCTCTCTCTCTCTCTCTCTCTCTCTCTCTCTCTCTCTCTCTCTCTCTCTCTCTCTCTCTCCACGCTCTCTCTCTCTCTCTCTCTCTCTCTCTTGTATGTTTAGTGTTACTAAATCGTGTTTATATAAGGATATAAACACGAGTGCATCATTTTGAATAACCCTGATTAGCCAGTTTCATTTTTCTTCGTTATAAGAAGTGAAGTACTGAATCGTATGTGGCAACAGAAAACATTTATGGAAAGACAGAGAGAGGAAGACAACAAGAGATCATTCCTCAAAGCTGTTTTTCAAGGTATGAAAGAATAACATTCTCAAAAACAGCACCGAATGGTTTATAAAAAACATATTTTGAGCAGCATGTACCGGATTCGTGAAAGACATGAGGAAATTGGTTAATTTACTATACTTTTTCTAAGAAGATTTCAGAACATGAGCTGATGCGTGCGTGAAGATCACAGGCTGGCCTTTATCAGTCGGCAAGATATGTTTGATGATAATGATGATGATGATGATGACGACGATGATGATGAGGATGAAAGTGCTGATCGGTAAAATGACGAGATAGAGCATATCTAAACATAAGATATAATACCAAGGGGGGGGAAACACTTAATGACAATAAATGCCCACCTACCTGTGTATGAGAGAGGTGAAAGAAGGCTACATAATTTTGCTGCTGTAGCTTTTATATTGAGTTTTCCTGGTAGAGTCCAAGTTTGATAAAACGGTGACGTAGCTGTCGCTGTGGAAATCAGAATTGATAGCTATATTACTGGTGCAACCATGGCCTTCT